AAGAGTTAGAACACGGGGGAAAAAAAAAAACAAAACCAAAAACGTCAGAGACTCAAAAGCCAAGGAGATGTATTGCCTAAACAATTTTATTGCTTTTTTGGTGGTGGAGGTTATATAGATATTTTTCTTAGCTCCCATAATCTCAGCAATGACTTCAAAACCTACAGGCAAAAGAAATCAAATATTTGAAATAATGACCATCTAAGCGCGAGAAGACAGCCAGAAGAACTGAAGGGTTGGTCACCACTGGCAAAAATCCATTCACGCAGTTCAGAAATGTTTGCCACCTAAGGAAAATAAAGGACTGGTGACTGCTTTGATTATGCTGTCAGGGTTCACATAGTGCTATAGTGCTTCCTCTAGGAAGAAATTCTCCTGCACCATTTTACTCAAGGTTGTTTTTTCCTGATTCTTCATTTCTCATTCAGAAGGGTTGCTAATAGTTATTTTTATGTAATAGTAGGTAATTCTTTCATGCTACAACTTATCATGCATATTAATCAGGGTTCTTGTCAAATTAAATTACTATTTTCAGCATTTGAAAAGTAGTTAAACTTCTAATGACATTTTCCCTCTCTCTTCATCAATCTGTTTTCAGAGGAAAACAATGTACTCAGGCTTGAAGTAAAGACACTTGAGCCTCAGGAATGGGAAAGAGCCACAAGCCGAAATGTATTCACAGGAGAGCTATAGGGCAATAAGGTTGTCACCTATGCACAAAAATACTTTCAAAGACATAAACATGATGTTAAAATCTCCACCACTTCCTCCTGCATGTTAAAGTCACACACAATACTTCCTACTTGCAGTTGTACTTGCAAGTTGTACTTGCAGGAAAAGAGTAAACAAGTGTATTTGAATGATTATTGCTACTTTTGTAGCATTAGGACTATCCTGAAACAGGGATTCGTTGAAATAGCACATCCTTAATTATCCTAGTTTTCTTTATTACTGCCACTATCAGAACCTAGAGTTGTAAAAAAGGCATTTTAATAGTGCAGATAAGTCAAAACAGAGCTCCATGATAACACTAGATACCAGGTGTGCTACCTGTATCTGAAAATCTACCTGGATGTCCATACATCACAGATGAAAAAAAAAATGTATGCAGATACATAATATACTGAAGTTTTTTTAAAGTCAAGCAACTACAGTTAGATTGTCCATAAGAATAAAATATTTCAACACACTTGCAAACAATTGAAAAAAAATGCTTAAATTAGTAAGTAATAACAAGGTATTTTAAAATTATGGTTGAACTAACTTAACTAACAGTTTACTATATAATAACCTACAGTCATAATATATACAGCTTATAATGCCTATCAAGGTACGCAGTACCTAGTAAATTCAATGTTAACGTATACTAATATATTTCACCCAATATATGCCCACCTTAGAGGTAGAACTTATAAGCATTTGAAAGACTGGACCAAAAAAAATCATCTAGGAACACTTTTGGTTTCCCTCGGCTTTGTACTGCATAAAATCAGCTAGTCAGCCTCAAATATTTTCCTTTTTATAACCCAACAGTCTAATTTGCATAGATGTCTCATACAGCAATAGAACAGAAAAGCATTTTTATAAAATTAGAAAATGATTGTATAACCACAGAGCTTGTTTCTGCAGCAAGTATGAATTTTTTTTTAAGTTGATAATATTTCAAGTGGAAAATATTCCTTTAACTGAAAATTTATTCCAGGCTAGCAATATTATTACGCACTAGGTTAACCTAGTGGTGGATAGTTTAGAGTAAATAAGCTTTTGAAATTGTGTATGGGGCAATCTTTTTTTACTACAGCAAATCGAGTAATAAACCTTCAAGATAGGTGAAAATCTAAAATGTACACTACTGAATGCCCAACAGAGTCAAACAGATACATGGTACAGCTAGGATTGTCCAGCTGGACAAAATACCACAGCGTTTATGGTAATTTTAGGGTATTTGCTTAACAGGAATCAGGCAAATTGCAAGATAGCTCTGCTCCAAAAATCCAAGCAAGGATTCCAGCAAGGGAAAAAAAAAACCTACCAGCAGGCCTTTATTCTTTTTAATCATCTTTAACTTCTTCCTTCGGCAGTTAGAATAACCAGGACATGCTAAAGATCTAGAATCGCTTTTCCCTGAAGAACTAGCTTATAAATAAGTCAATTCATATCTACTTACATGTTTATTTTCTTCAGCGACACGCCACATATCCTGCCAGCATTCACTCACCTGTATTTGAATCGCTGCCACATCAGTATCATTTAATGGTCACACCATCACAGCCTCAAATCTCATTACAATGACCTTTAGAAGTCCCTTCCAACCCAGCTTCATTGAACAACGAACTGGTTGGGATTGTTCACTTTCAGGACTAGCAGTGGCATCATATCTATGCTGTGGGGGACACACAGTTTTTCATAGAATCATAGAATGTGGTGGGTTGGAAGGGACCTTTAAAGGTCATCTGGTCTAACTCCAGGGGGTTGTTTTGGGAACAGGCATCTGATGTCTCAATTTAACAAGCAATCTCATTTTTATACTGTTCCTCTGACAACAGGGACTCAATCTCTACCCCCAGATTAATACAGGGATGGAGGACCATTTCTAAGTAGAAAGCATCACGACTCTGCCAAGCAACACAATTCATATTTTACACAGCTTCTCCAAGTCATAGAAACATAGAAGGCTGGAAAAGACCTTTAAGATCGAGTCCATCCATTAACCTAGCACTGCCAGATCCACCACTAAACCATGTCCTGAAGCACCAAATCTACACGAGACATCTACAAGTCACCATCACTGGAAGAAGCTGGCAGCACTGGGCAGCTGACCTGCTGCATCTGTATGCTGCTGTGCATTCCCCTTGCTCATTTAACACAGCAACTTCTCCTTTCAGCTCTCGGACTTAACACCAGAGGCTTTTCATAGAGGGCAGTGTTGGACATGTCTATGTGTTCGCTGTCAAGCATCCACCTGAGGTTAAAGACTAGTACAGACAATAAGGATGAGCTTTCTTGGGATCTTTTACACTATTTTTCTGAAGTTGATTGCTAAGCAATCAACAATGTTCAATTTAAAAAAAAAGTGAAAATATCTTTTTTCATCCCTTGCATATCTCCTGATGATATTAGTATCTGTCATCAACCCTCTCAAATCTCTCCATGTCTCAATCATTTAAAGCAAGGTTGCAAACAAGGGTGCTTTTTTTTGTGATCAAGATATGTAATGTTTTTCTGAAATTACGTCAAGGAGTTTTGTGAATATCAGCTTCTACAGCTGGAGTGCAATCAGTTACCTTAAAGGAAAAAAAAGAACATATAAATACGGAACAGGGTTACCTTCCCTTAGACGCTCAACCACAAAAGTGAATCCAGTAGTCCTTGGATGTAAGACGTACTCATATTTCCGAAGTCCGTTCTTTTCAGCGAATTCATTACTGCGGGCTTTGGTATTGGCTGAAGAAAAGAATAAAACCCACCATTTTCTATTAGTGTGAACACAGAGCAAGGATTAAAGATAAGTATTATATGACAAGAACAGTACAGCACCAGTTCACACAGTACGTACGTGCAACAGCTTTTCAGGTGGAAGCAGACCGGTGGCTATAGTATGGTATGAGGAAGAGCAATGTGGATTGCAAGAAAAGCCTTTTTACCCTCTCATTTCTTTTCAGAAAATAAGCAGTAAATCCTTTATGGTTATCAAATGCAATCTGAAATCTATGAATTAAAGTCTATTAATAGTTCTCTGTGCATTTCAGTATCAATTTTACAGCAAAATGTGTTAATGGCTCCATTTTTATTGCTTTTTAAACTCAAGGGGCACAAGGTATAGTAATGTAGGTCTGGTATTATGTAGAGAAATACTTTTGGATCAATGTTTAACTGCGTTGAACTTACTTCAGAAAGATTAAATGGGGGAAAATAGTTGATCTAATGCACTAGAATGGCATTTTACATCTCCATTCTCAGCTTCACACTTTTTATTCATCAACCTGTACTGCACATACATACCCTGTTCTAATTTTTCTGACTGACTGCCTCAGTGTCACAGTGCGTGCTTCCTACTGTACACAGAGCGCATGCAAGGCATCCTGAAAGCAGCGTGGCTAAAACCTGTGACAAATACATTTCGAACTTCTGGCAAAAAGAAGCCTCTCATGAGAAAACCAAACAAAGGTTGTTCAGAGTCAGCTGCTAACAGAGCCAGCTAACCAAGGGAGACGTGGGCACTAGAGCAAAAACTTCAAGAGGCAAGGTGGAGAGGCAGCACTTTGTTCTCCAGAGATGTGCAGGAGGCTCTTCCAAGCAGCCAAATGGACTTTCCTGGCCGCCCTTACTCCTCTGCTGTGGGTACTGCTGTGCCTCTTCTGGGGCCAAAGGCAACAGACATGTGCCATGTTCCCTTAGCAATATGAAGGGAAAAAAGAAAAAAAATCAATTTGATCAACTAACTTACTAACTAACTCATATTTATACAGATTTACAGGTGTTTTAAAAGACAAAAGTCCCAGGAACAGATTTATGGAACAAAATCATTGCCTCAGCAGTGAATCATCTTTTCCAAGCAGAAGCAGCTCCGGTTTTAAGTGTCCATAGTTAACCTTAACAGCACTGGGAGATAACGAAACACCTATTGCTACTTAATAATTTAATGGAATTGGTAGTTATACATAAGTCCTTACCCTTACAATCATATTTTTCCTTGTAAAGGAAAAATAGCACAAGTGGACAAATCAACAGTTGTGCAAGATGTCCTTTTTGCAGTAATGCAACTTTCTTGCATCTTTCTTTTTCTCCTAAATTACATGAGCTTTTGGTTTACCAAAAAATGTGGCGTCCTTCCTAAAAGGCTATCTACCTATCAATGAATGCTATGGCATTTCAGTGTACTGAATCTTTTTCTCCTGTGACCTAACGTTTCCACTCATAAAAGCACTGCTGTTCATACGTGCAGCCCTTTGGATTTAGCGTGCAGATTTCCTGACCATGTGATTTGGAAGAAAAATTGTTGCCTGGCAGCCAAGCAAGTGATTCAGCAAAGAGAACCCAAAGATCTATTTTTTGCTAAATTGCCAAAATGTACAAATGCTTAAAAAAAAATTACGACTTCAAAAAGCATTGCTAAAATTATAAAATGTGTGAAATACTAAAATTGCACTTGGCTATGTAACTTAAATTCATCTTTCCTTGGACATACACATTATGTATATGATCAGAGTATCTATTTTTGTCTGCTCGACTACTACTCCATTCAATGCTGAAAGCAGACTACTCTGGATCAGCAAAGCAAATTTGCCTTTAAGACTCCTGCCTTTGCAATGGCAAAGCTTTCAGAGTCATGAGCAAGACTTGGAATGGCAGAAAATGCAAAAGTAAACTGGCAATTATTAAATGCTCCTCTGGAAAGCCAGATTCTACCTCTTAGACATAATTGTATTGCACTATTAGCTCAACAACTTAAAACGATTTGCTAAGACATGACATTGATCACCAAGAGCATTTCTATAAAAAGTATACAAGTCAAGAGTTCTTATTCAGATTCTGTGGTGATTCAAGCAAAATGTTTTAAATTAATTTATCACAAGGTTTTTAAGCTAATGTATTGTTTCTTCCAAAGGATAGAAGTATCTTCTTCATTTTTTGTATATCCAAGTTTGGGTTTCATTTTGGACTATTTTCAATCTGCAAATCAAGTCCTTGGAATCACTCAAAGCTTTGAGACACAAGCACCATATCAGTCTACATTAAGTTAAGCAGTCTAAAAAAAATTAAATCTAAGTCTTAAGCATCTCAGACTGCACAGTTAATGAGCACTCAGAGAAACCTTCTCTGTACGTCTGCTCACTGGGCACTTCATTTCAGAGGGAACATGAAAACTAATTCCTTGGGGTTTGTAAAACCCTCCTACTTGCACCACAGGAAAACCAAAGAGGAAGCGGGCAGTTTCGTTTTCTGAGCCAGACCTAACCGATGCTGCAAAAAACGTCTGGGACCTCCACTGCCCACTGCCTTGAAGTAATTGTCTTCAGGCCACCTCCCTGAACTTGGAAAGAACTCACTGTAAACATCTGCAAAATGTCTTCCAAACTTCCCTTTTACTACAATGCCTTTCTAAAAATGTGTGAACAGCTGGACACTGGCACAGCGGCCAACACTGCTCAGCTATTTCCTGATCTTTGTATCCCTGTCTTGCCTCTGGACTGTAAGTTTTATGTAACAGAGATTGCGCCCTTCCCCTTTTGCATGACCTTAGTGTTACAGGATTTTAGAACTAGAGTTAACACTCCCAGCTAATACAATGATTATTGTCATCTGGAAAAATCATCTCCCTTTTCCCTTCCTAACAACTATCAAGTCACTGTGCATCAAACAATATTTATTCCAGTAAGCCAAGAAGGTCAAAGGGTTTTGATGCTATCCTGAAAGTATTGGTAGGATATGCTTTCGAAAAGTAAAAATAATGCCCTTCCTTCCCTTCCTGCTGCTGTCAGTATTTGAAGAAAAGTTTCTTACTCTGCTACTACTTATGAATAGATGTGCTGTGTGCCATCTTATCTGTTGTAAGCACCTTGGTGCTTATGGCTGTTGCCTGAATCTTCCAGGGGAAATTCAGAGCAAGTCTCCTGCTTGGAACTGGATTCAATAGAAGGCAGAAAATGGGATGTTCCCAATTATATGAAACCTAGAGGTTAGAAAAGTCATCCAGGAAATCAGAAATGTGTTTTTATACCCTCTCCAACCTGAGGTAATTCACACAACAAACACCTCTTTAAAATCCCATAATCAACAGACCAGGCTGCACTATCAGTGCTGTGAAACTTCTGCAGTCCAGATTATAACACTCTCAAGCGAAAGAATAAGAGTGAAAGATGCCTTTGTAAGCCTGATAGTGAAAACACTTCCTTAAAAAGAGGAAACATATGTTCTCTTCTTTGCTTCCAACAAACACAAACGGCACAAAGCTGCTCTTGAAGCAGGGACTGGAAATTAACTCCGTTTGGGTCTCCTTAATCCCAAAAGGTCCTTCACATCATTTGGCGAAGGGTGATGACCCCTCCTCATGCTTACTCTCTCCGAAAAATATGAGCAAGTGTTGCTTTCCAGAAACAAGTATTTTCCTTCTTACACTATTTATGCTGAAACAAACGTATCCCTAGAGGTTTTGCACATTGTTCCTATTAGGTGTATTTTGCATTTTAACTCCTTGGTTCTATTTGCTTGTACAATAAAAAAGAAAAAGTAGAATAACCTATTTTTATGGAAAGCAACTGGTTTATTAATAGAGGCTGGTGTAAGACCTTTCCTGATCCAGAATTTCTTCATGCTCTATCTTCTCTGGTCTTGTACCAGCTTGCCTCTCGTCCCCTGTCTCCTTCAGCTAATACATGCTGCCTCTCAGACGGTATGTTCTCTGAGGTGTTGACAAGTACAAGAAGTCCAATTTATTTGAGTCTTTAGACACTACTGCAGAGCAATTGTCAAACAACACAAAAGAACAAGAATTTAAGGGTTTTGGCCATAACCTCTATTTTTTTTTTTTTTTTTGCTCCTGTGCTGCCTTTGGTACATCACTTGATTCCATTTTTTCCCCATTTATCTCAAAATCATGTGTGCAAATCCCATTTATCACATTTTTTAATTATTAGGAAAGCTCAAAACGTCAGCACTTTGTAGAAGCACCACATTTCAGAATTTTATTTAAAGAAACTGGAGGAAGAAATTATGCTAACACATTTTCTTGATTTTTTGACTTACAGATTTTTAAGAAGTTAAATAGCGTTTGCTCCTAAAAACCAGAGGACAAAGTCAACAAATTGGATTTTTTTGAAGTTGAATCATAATTTTATTTGTGAGATAGTTTTGAATTAAACCAAAAATCTCCAGAATCTACTTTGATGAAAGCCATAATACAGTAACACTAACTGCATTAGTGCGAGTCTGAAGAATATTTAGAACTAAAACTTCAAGACCTGTACCCAACAAAAAGCTAAGTTTGTGCTCCCCATGAAATACGAGTGCAACGTTAGCTCCTCTCAGAGAAGCTCATATGCTTTTACACATTCAGCATTGTCCAGGCTGTTGTGTTTTGCTGGATATCACCCAAAAGAATTATGAATTTCCATCATCATCCTAGTGGAAATCTGATTCTGACAACTTTAATACAAATATTTCTGACCAACTCTCAACCAATTTTCTTTTTTCCCTGCAAGTACTAGCGCATTAAAATTTGATGATCAAGTACTACCTTTGCCTTTAATCTAACTGGTGATAAAAACAAGTGCGTACTTCTATAACTTCAAGTACTCTCAAACTATATTGGTGCCACAAAGTGAAAGAATAAACAAGTACTCCAAAAATCTCTCTTTTAAAAAAATAAATATTCTCATTCATGTATTAAGAGATTTGCATAGAAAATATAAAGTCTATAATGGCTCACAGTTAATATTTATAAAAAAAAGTTAAGCAATTGTTCTTATTTGTGCTACTTTCAAACTATTACATGTTAAATCAACCTCTACCAGTGCTTTAGAACAATATCTTTTTTTTCACTACCAAGGCACATCACATTTACTGGAAAAGAGAAGAATCCAGCTGCAGCTTATTGTTACGTTCTAGATGGAATACTGTAAGTGATCCGCGTCACAACACTCCTGCCAAAATGTGGGTTCGAGCAAGCTTTCCTACTTGTTTTTCAGCTTTTCCTCAAGGAAAAAAGGTCTGTGCAATCACATTCTGTCCACCTCAACTTTCAAAGCTATTGACACCTGCAAACCAAGTTTGACAGAGACAAGAGATTCAAAGGCGATTAAGCCCCACAGCATTTCAGAAAATGAATGGCTGAGTAAAAGGGAAGCTTCTGAGAGCAGAGAAGGGGAAAAGCCAAAGCAGGCTCCACAGGTATTTAGTTTGTTGGAGCTTTCAGTCATCCGATGGGTAACACCAGTAACAGCGAGGATGAGCCACAGCACACGATGCCTCTCGACGAGAGATTTGTGGAGGAAACATCACACGGAAGGAAACACAAGGAAAAAGGATAAGTTGGAGTGAAGAAGAGACCATGTATGGGGATGCAGACACAAATCCATAGGAAATGAGGCTTTAACAGGTGCAGAGCAATACAGCAACTTTTTTTTTTTTGTTATTGCTTTCTGAAGAATTACTACAAAGAATCTTGTAAGGAACACCAAGAAACACAAAAGCACAAGCAAAATGGTGGGTTGAATTCCAGCTCTCCAGAAGCACTAGACTTATGGTTGCTTTGTTTTCTTCAGAAAGTCTGGCTATATGTTTATCTGCTGAGGGCTTCTTTTTAAGCAATTACAATAAAATACCTTTAGATGCACTTAGCTTTAACCTTGAAGTACTCCAGAGTGAAAAGATGACCAACCTACCAGAAATAAGTATATAATTATTACCTTAGATGCTATACATCCAGTCTGCAAATACATTGGTTCAGGGTTCATGACATTACTATTTCTAACATTTATTTACGTAGCATCTTCCACTGCAAAGTACTTCAGCAAATTGAAGTCAGGCAGTAGCCCATATATAAACACAGTCATTTGAACTCTTTTGCTCTCAAATACCTGAAAACACTATACCATTTCTTATAAAGAGGGGTAAATCTATCGTTGTCATGCAGCCACTGAGAGGATAATAAAAAGAGAGAGAAGCACGAAGCTGAACAGCAATTCAGCTTTTCAGTGAAGTACATGTAGAATGTTATTTTTCATTTTAAGCACCAGAAAAATTTTGGTTTCAGAAATAACTAGCAGTTTCGCAAGTTAGTCAGGAAACAAGAGCCATTGCCTCTATTTTTGCAGAATGCTCCCTATGAACAAAAAACCATTCAGAAGAAAACTGTGGTTTATTTCTTATTCTAAAAGATGGAACATGAGGTTGCAATAGGTCCTAATGTGTCAATAAGATAAGTTTTCTGAAAACATTTTTTCCAAAATGGTACAGAATACATTATTATGTTCTACCATTCTCATTTGGCACAGACTTATTGCTTGGTCAGGACTAGCTTGTCAAGGATTTCACCCTGTCTCCCATATGTTTTACAATATCTGAGCTAATGTTTCCTGTGAAGAAAATTAGATAGGGAGAGCTATTTACTTTCACAGAAAAAGTCCCAGGGTTTTGCTTGTCTCTATACATCTTATTATGCACAAATATAATATCAAGGTTGTGCTCGTTCCTGAAGGCAAGTGAGAGTGCTCAACACTGGACAGCTGAACGTGTCTGAAGCCAGCACAGCTGCCCAAGGAAGCAGCTCCCTGGAATCTTCCCCGTCCAGCAATCTGTCCTTCCCACTACACCACTTCTGCCCTGGGCTGCTCAACAAACCCAGGGGAAAACAATCACCTCCCACCTGCGGCAGCTTCAGAAGAATAGTGCGGTTAGTGTGGAGATCCATTTGATATTGCAAAGCTAAAAAGTAAGTGTTATGTAAGAGGAAGGAAAACGAGCAACAGAAACACCTTTAAAAAAAAAAAATCCATTGAAAATCTGTGTTCCAAAGTCCAGTTAGAGATTTTTTTTCAGATTAAGCAATGAATCTTGTCTGCATGAATTCTTCAGTGCATGGTACCAGCAGCATACACTTAAATTTAGTCATCTGTATCGGTTAGAACAGCAGAGAGAAAATCTTGCTTTTCCTTAAGCAACTCCACGTTCAGCTGGAGGACCCCCACCACTGCCCTGGGACTCCTCAGCACAAGCATTAACACACTGCGGCTGTGTCAGTTCTCAGCTTTTTATTTTTTTAACTGCAGTCCGAAACTTCCTTCATTCTTTAAAATTTGTAGTCTCTAAGGAATATTGGGAGGGATTAGAAAGTATACATAATTTATGGAACAAATTACAAACAATCCAATTCTTTTAATCATCTTTGATGGAAGCACCTGGTCAGAACGAGCATGAGTGACCCAAGGAGTAATCTTCTGACTCCATGAATAAGATCAAAATTTCACCTCATAATTCAGAACTAGGAGGACACAGTCGTTCATTAAATCAAAGAAAAAAAAAAAGCTAGGTAATTTCCCTCCTTCTTAATTTTAAGAATAATTAATTCAACAAGAGATACCATGTGAAGCAGCCCAAGAGAACACAATGAATTTATCCTCTTTTAGGAAGGCTAATCAAGTGATGGTGATTCCCTACAGCGTGATAACATCTGAATATTATACATATGCATTTTAAGGAAATTTGGAGCACAGAAGAATAAATAGCATCATATTTTAGATATTTTCATACTGTATCTAGTGCTTACTGATCTGGCACTGCCATGAAGTATGGCTTGAGAATATCTGCAACGGAAAGCACAGTAATCTTTTAAACAAGCTAAAAGGTAAGAGTTCAATTGTAATTGATTTTCTATTTCAAGATGATGCTTATCAAAATCATGCTGCAGGCATGAAGAACTACGGAACATTCATGCAATGTTTTCTTTTATCAGCAATTAAGTTGTCCTCAACACTGGTTAGCAGCTTGCTACTGATGCCAAAAGATAACAATATGAAGGTATATATTTTATTAGGAATTAATGCTACAGGATATATCTCATTAAATTTACTCTTATGATACTGTCAATATGTGGTTCAGGAAAATATTTTCTAATAGAGGTAGACTCAGTCTGCTTACATAGCCTAAGGAACAAGTATCTCCATTTTCCCCTCTTAGGCAACAAATCTAATAGAATCATTAGTTCTCCTCTCCAATCAGTCCCCCACAGGTCTGAAATCATTCTGCACTGTTTGCCCCAGTAATATGGAAAACGGGAACACGCAACTGATTTATTCCTACTTCCACTAATGCAACATATATCAGTATTGACCAATATAAAGCCATTTCAATCATCAGATGCTTTGAAATGTACAGTTATTTCGGGAAGACTGGCAAAGTCTCTCAGTGGAACCATGTTTGTGCCTCTCAAATGAATCAGCACATATGATTATTAACTATAATCTCCAGTCTTGCTCCTGCCTTGAACTTTTTTCAACTATTTCCATAAACAACAAAGCATTTTCAGGTTGAACATTCAATCAGAAGATAGCAAGTGCAGCCTACCTGTGAGATCAGTTCCTTCTGGAAAGATGAGGAGTTGCAGCGGTTCATGAATGTCACAGAAATAATCCAGCATTTTTTCAAAGTGATTCTTGTCATCTTCCCACTTTCTCTGAATGAAAATAAAGGCAGCAACTTGCATTGCCCAGCCTGAAGTTTAAAAAATACACCTTTAGTAATATTCCACTCTGATACTTCCACAGTATTTTATACATTGTGTTAGAGACAACATTTTATTGGCTGCCCACCTGTCCTCATCCCTGATTAAGAGCACATACTTAGCTTGTAAATGGAGTTTTGAATAGGAAGCAGAAGAATGCATAATATAAATAAGTAAATCTTATAATTTCAAATGGCTATGATTTTGCAAAACTCAAGTTATCGGAGTTAGAAAAGCTTTCCAGTGAACAAGAACAAGGTCAACACTGTCATGAAAAGAGGTTGTAGCCAGGTGGGAGTTGGTCTCTTCTCCCAAGTAATAAGTGATAGGGCAAGAGAAAATGGCCTCCAGTTGCACCAGAAGAGGTTTAGGTTGGACATTAGGAAAAATTTTGTCACCAAAAGGGTTGTGAAGCACTGGAACAGGCTGCCCAGGGAAGTGGTGGAGTTACCATACATGGAAGTCTTCAAAAGATGTGTAGATGTGGTGCTTAGGGACAGAGTTTAGTGGTGGACCTGGCACTGCTAGGTTATTGACTGAACTCAACGATCGAAAAGGTCTTTTCTTATGAATAAATGATTCTGATTCTATGTGATGATCCTCACCATATCTTTAATCACTGCAACATTGATTTGCTCAAGGAAAGGGGTTGCCCCTATGGACAAGCATCTCAGCAATGCAGTGCAGGACAAAAGAAAGCCGCATTACAGAGATAGTTGCCTTAGGAGGGCACATTAAGCATGTGGATTGTGCAGAAAGTAGATATTGCTTTGAGGGCTTTATTGCATATACCTTCTTATTTCTAATAGAACACAAAGTTGCCCTTTACACTTGATTGCAGAAAAAAAACTGATGTATATCCATTTGTTTGTATTAATCCACAAGACAGCTGTGAAGATTTACAGTCTGATGTTAAACAATGTAATGCAGTTCAATAAATGAAACTGCTGCTGAGCCTGCAGCTCAAGGGTCACATGCCATCATTTCCAATAAACATTCTTGGCTTTTGTTTGGCATGATTTAGTATACAGTATATCACAAAATATTAGAAGATCTGTCCGCTAGTTCAGACAGCAGAATAAAAAAAATCAGGGTTCCAGTTCCACCACATGCCCATGATGCTCCCTTCTTAAACAGAGCTCAGAGGAGCATGACATTGCCTTAGCACTGTACTTGGCTGGCTTGTATCTCATCAGAAAACCTGCAGATAGATATTCTACATCAAAGAGAAAACATCACAGCTTTCCATTCTCCTCTTTGCTCATCGCAGTTCTCGTAAGTCTGTTTTTCCTTTGCGGGTGACTCACAGTATGTTATTCTTGTACTTTATTTCAGCTCCTCTTTACAGGGACTCCTTTCTACTCTGTCTGTGGCAATACCTTGCAAGAAGCATAAGCAAGAAAATCACTTCTTAAAGTCACCAACTTTTAAATCAACTTCTTAGGTTGGTCAGCCTGGTTAAGGCATTAACCAAGCTGTCCAATCTCTTCTGCATTGGTTAAAGCATTACTTGTATGTTAAAGACTTGTAACCTGTATCATGAGATGGATATTTATTTTGAAATCAACTGAACAGATGGAGGATGCATAACCAGAATGCCTTCTGCAATCTGGACTTAATGAGTCTCAGATATTCAGATAATGAATGACATCCAGATAACTGAGTACTGGAAGTGGTTATAAGAATTAGGAAGAAAAATGCACAGAATGCAGTCTCAGCAAATCTTTTCAAATTTGCACACTGTACTTGTTAAAAACGCTCTGTAAACAAGCCTAAATTTTGACCACAACATTTTATGCGCATCTATGCACATATCGCATTCGCACATCTACAACGTCAAGAAGTATCAGTACAGTACTATTAATAGTGGCTATCCATGTTTAAACAAATCATTTGCACAAAAAAAATAAGGTCAATTTTAAAGGAACTGAAAGGTAACTCACATAACTACACTTTCTGCTGGCATTTAATTGCCTCCTGCTGCTACGATACATTTCACTACAATGCTGCAGAACCAGTATTTTAAACTGAACTACTAAAGGCTTAATTTTCACACTTGTCATTCTGTTATAGGAAGAGGACACCTTTTCATACCAAATGTTTCTGAATACAAAATGGTGCCAAAGCATTTGATTTCTCTAGGACATGCATAGAGATGGAATGAAGACAAGTCAGGGGCAGTTCAGATTGGACATTAACAAAAGGTTTTTACTGAGAGAGTGGTCAGTCACTGGAACAGGGTCCCCAGGGAAGTGGTGATGGCACCAAGCCTGTCAGAGTTCAAAGAGCATCTGGATGACACTCTTAGTCATATGGTTTAGTTTTAGGTAGTCCTGCAAGGAGCAGGGAGTTGAACTTGATGAGTCTCTTCCAACTTGAGATATTCTATGAGTCTATGATACCTCATCTGAAATAAAATTTACAAAAATGGGCACAGTAAATGAAAAAAAGCCCTCTGAGCAGAAACAGAGATGTCTTGTACCATACCACTCACAACTCTGAGGATGCAGATGCTCCATGGGACAGAATACATAGAGATTAGGAAGGTTGTAGCATGGTCTTCATGGCTTCCAATTGTTCTTACTTCTCAGCCAAGACCTTCTGTATGTTTTTTTGTACCTTAGACACTATACCTAATTTAGTTTATGACAAACCTGTACTGTGCTAAACTATTTTATTGTGTGGTATCTCACATCAGGCCTAAATTATTTAGTCCTTGTGTTCTCATTACAGCAGAGCCCACAGGTAGAAAGAAGGGAAATGAGAAGCAAAATAAATGACAGCCTGAGAAGCCTGCTGATATTTTCCCAGGTTAGCAGGCTCCTCAGGAAGTGTGATTTTGGTCCATAATGGAGGAGGCATGGAAAAAAAATCCCTGACAGATCCCACCCTCTCCCCTACCTTTCCTCATGCAGCACAAACTTCTAAATTATATGGAAATACAATTCTAGCAATCATTCTTTTAACAGCACTGTGAATACCACATTACAAATATTTTTAGATACTAAGAAAGCTGCTGCTTGGGAGAATCGTATTTTACCTGACTAAACTGTCTTAAAGTAGAGGACATAGAGCAGTAGTTTCCCATTCCTGTGGTGGTGTTATATACAGGCTATGAAAAATTAAGCAGAGGCAGTAACGTAATGACAGAGAGGAAAAAGAAGAAAGAGAGGGAAGGGAATTGGGAGGCATCCAGTTTTTAAAATAAACAACTGGTTTGATTTTCTAACCTTTAAAACAGATAACGTCCAGTGTCCTGGATATATCTAATTAGACGAACCAGTCCTGACTGCTCAAGTAAGAACAGATTATTGTAAGATAATATTAGATGAATAATAGTAAAAGACCCAGTATCCCCACGTACCCCAGCACGGCACCCTGCGCCCAACTATTTTAACATCTATGAGAGAAGAAGGATAATCCACATCTCCTCAAGCTTTAAGGCCTCCACTGAAAGGCAACACCACCACGAAAGACTGCCTCCAACCAAAACCCTGGCCCACGCACTCCTGGTGGAAAACACCAGCCACTTACACGTCTCACCATCCCACCAGACTCAAGCAGGAGAGGAAACTCAGCACAGACTTGCAGACATGCGCCTTCGAACGATGCGCCAGCAGCTCTCACTTTGGTTTCTGTTCCACAGCGCACCTACACTGCGCTGCTGGAGAAAGAACCCCTACCGAGGTGGCAACACGACGTGGGATCCAAATGGGAAGGCCCCAGAGAACAGGGAGGAATTCAGTAAAGGGGTGGACAAAACAAAAGGTTTGGCTAATCAGCAAGATTTATGAACACGCAACAGAAGAAAGTAGCTTCTCACAGGCGGCCTGCAGTGAGACACGCTGTTCAGTTAATTATAATTAAGTTTTGGTCAACATATTCTTCAACAAAAGTAGTGATATTTTGCTCTTTTTGCGGTTGTCTAAAAGCTCCTGGCCAACAGGTATTTTCCTAGCAAAGGCAGCATTTACTTGACTGGGGAAAAATGGCTGCCTTTCGATTCTGGAGAAATCATCAATTACAAAAACAATGCGAGTCCATTTCTCTTCTAAAATAGCCTTCTTGTAGGAGCCAACATTTTGGATAACTAATATTGGAAAAACATACAAACCCCCATCATTCTGCACAGCTCTTGTTGAAAATTGCAAAACAGCAATGCAAAAAACCTTCTAGACAGAATAGGTAGCCACAGGGACCTTTAAATCAATTTTTCAGAGCTTAAAAAAATTTGAGAAAGCAGCTTCAAGTCTCAGGTAACACATACATGCTAATGATACGTATTCTAGGAAGACATAATTCCAGATAGAAAAAAAATTACTTAAACAAAACAGAAAGCCCGCTACTGAACTGGAGGAATGTGCTGTATGGAAGAACTTCCTTACTGCCTTGAGGATAAAGCAAATTATAGATTATGCAGGTTGAGAATTTGCAGCATTGTATTAAAAATGTTAGCTGCAAGTATAAAGCTTTTTAAACTCTAAGACTCTGCACTTCTATTTTCCCCACTTCAAAATCCTTTGAAAGAAAATAACACTTGAAACTGAAATTTCTTAAGCGCGTTTTCATTGCAAAGGTAATTTGGGAGCAAGTAGATACTAGGGATGGAGGCAGCAATGAACAAAAGAGGAGTTGTACAAAAAAAGTCCTTGTTTGGTTTTGTATTCACAACTTTATGCACATTTCCATAAGTATCTCAGAAATTAGATATCCCAAAAGATGTCGTGTCTCTCACGTCTAAAAGGAATATTACGGCCGATACTGAAAGCAAACACACAAAAGTCAAAAAAAAATGGTATTTATGTATTTCCTATAGCAATGCAATATAAGAGCTAATAATACTACTCCCTCCCCTCCCCCAAAATCAATAAATGATTCAAAACTATAGAAGCAAGTAGCAAAGTTGATGGCCCAACTATGGGACTTTATCATATTCATTCATCCTCCCTCTTTTCTTCCACTGCTTTATTGGTTGGTTTTTCATAGCATT